TTCCTTTTGTAGATTCAGGATATATTTGAACATGGTATTACAGTATTACATTATTAGTAATATGGTATAACAGTTGTAAAAAGAGCTTTAAAAGAGTATGTAAACGTGTAAATTGGCCTGTTGGCACACTGAGTTTTGGTGGCGTTTGGGAGTAAGTGAGAAATGTATTCATGTAATGTAAAAGATGTAATCATTGAATTTTTGCCAAAGCAATGATAAATTATCCACAGTTTAGCTAACATAGAGTGTGTGAAGAGTTTTGAAAAAATGACTTAAGTATTGAGAAATGTGTTAAATACAAAAACTGTAAAATAAGAATATTCTCGTACATGTTTTTAATATGAATGAAAGTTTATAAGAAGTTATGACACATTTATCGTGAATGCAAAAATCTATTTCACAACCAACTTTTGACTCTGTAGCCGAGTTTCCATAACCCTTCAAATTGGGCAAATTGATAATACGCCCAGTCTATTTAGAAAAAAACTCCCATATATCGCAAACAAGTCTTTATGCTTGCATGAGGTGGTTCTTCAGGCAATATGAAAAAGGAATACTTCGCACAACTGCAATTGAAACTGTTTTTAAATGTACAGGTCACCTGGCATACGTAAAAGTTGATCGTTCTTTAAAGATGACGCGGCATGTTTGAACAGAAGACGTGACCTTCATTAAACTCATGAAAGACAAAAGTATCACGGGAATATTGGATTCTAAACAACAACAAAAACGCTGTACTATTCATGCCAGGCCAGTAGATGGCGATGTCTCTATATAAAAAAACACGGTCTATAGACTGAACCATAGATATATACACTAGATGTCGCCTTGGCTACGGGAGTTCATTAGAACGGATGCGTCAATAGAGCCGCCATCTTGGAACAGACGAGCCCCTCCACTTTAATGCATCAGCGTCAATGTAGACAAAGGTCTAACGGAAATAAAATCACCAAAATTCATCATAAATGCGATTTTCTCGTTTTTTTTGGTTCGTTCCAACAGTGAGACATGTATTTATCATTGATTCCAGAATTTTTTTTTTAACGTCCAGCACAAAAGTCCGCCACCATCAATTAATTTGAAGTAAAGGCAGAGATAGCAGTGTTACCTAGCTACTTCCTATGACAACACCCCATTCCAAGATGGCGGCTGTTTTGACGCATGCTTAGAACCCCAAGGTGACGTCTAGTCTATACATCTATGAGACTGAACAATGCACATGTGTGCGACCATTTTCACAAGATCACATTTTTGTAGTTTACACAACAAAGATGACAATGATATCTATTTCCAAAACTTGCGTGTTGGAACCCATTTCTGGCCCCCAAAGCACTGTTAATTAAATGAACAACAGCCAAAACATGTTAACAGCTCATAAACTGCAATACCTGATGCCATTCCAACTCTTATCTGGGAAGAAAAAACAAAAGCCGGTCTGATCAAATGCTATGAAGTCATAATAAATGGCCCAGGTTCAGATTGTATCTTGCAATAATAAAACAAACTATCATCTCTTTTTTGAAGCAACCGTTCCGTGCAGAACAATGGAGTGTAATAAAACATAGTAACCCTCCGTTCCTGTAGGACAACGTCAAATGCCAAGCACAGAGGACAGAGCACATTATCAGGCATCACGCAGTTTCAGCATAAACAAAACACTCTCGGATCAAACTCTTCCACCGGCCTTATCGCTTTAATAATAGGGCTGGGTATCGATTCACATTTCAATTTCGATTCGATTTCGATTCACAAGCTCTCAGTTCGATTCGATTTCGATTCTCGATTCGATTTCGATTCAATTTTCGATTTCGATTCCTGATTTGATTCTCGATTCGACTATAATGTAGATGTAATATAAATCCTATATTTATAAAAAAGAACAGTGGACATAAGTTCACTAGTGGTTAATTATACAAGGAGCCATAAACCTGTATATAAAACTCTTTTTATTTACTAAATGCATACAAAGAATAAACAGGGTTTTGATGCAATATACAAAAAAGTCAGAACAGTCGCACAGCTTGATCAAACAGTATCATGTTATTTTATGTTTAAGATAGATATAGATAAATACATTTTTAATAGATAAAATACATTTTTTTTTTACATTGATCTTACCTAAATGGTAATGTAATTTTTTGTTTATTTTTGTTTTAAGAGTTTATGTATGGAAGCTTGATTTCAATCTTTGAATTAAATTGAAAAAAGTAGCACAAATAAATACAATAGAATAAAGACACAAATTAAGAGACATTTTGGGGTAGTTTTTTGGGTATGTCAGAAATACTACAGAAACTGACTAAAGTAATCCAATGTAAAATAACACTGGATAGTCTTTTTAGTCCAGACTGAATTAAATACAAAGGCTATTAATTCTGATTGCTTACAATTAAAACTATATTCTGTTGTTATGACAACAGAATTAATGACTGACACAAATGGCTGCGTTCACTTTAAGAACTAGTGCGCGAATCCATTACTGTTTCATTAACTTTCTGTTACACGCGTTTAATGCTAATTTAAGACATTACCGACTGTCTTTACGAGGTTACTCACCAAGACCAGAGTTTTGACATAATGTCGCGTGTTTTAACTGTTAAAGTGATATAATCCAGGGATAAAACTTTTGTTTCTGGCAAGCTGTTTGTGAGGCAGATTTAGGCTGTAACGTTACTGTGCACGCAGTGAAAGACATCTCTGAGAGTGCGCGAGCACGGGATAGTTTAGCATTGCTTGTAAAACTTAAAAAGACGTGAAAATGATAAACGTTAGTTACGTTCATAGGTTACGATGCAATGCTGGCCCGATTGTTAAGTGAATATTCTGTCATGTCCCGACTCCTAAACGCGTGTGTGTGTATCGACAGCTGCAGCGCTTGGCGCTTGCCTAGTGCAGAGAGACGAGAAGATGCAGCACCGCGTCCGCGAGCCCTTTATATGGAAAAAATCGATTCGTGGCCTTTGAGAATCGATTTTGAATCGAACACATTTTAAAAAACGATTAATCGAAAAATCGATTTTTTTGCCCAGCCCTATTTAATAACCTATTTCAAGAGAACAATACAGGAGTCTGCTGAGTATGGAGTGTGCTAATACACACACTCTCTGCGTCCATTATCTACTGAAAATGAAAGACAGTGCTAAAAGTGTAATATATATGACAGATATACAGTAAGTTGATCATGCCTGTGTTATATTACAGCCTAAAATGAAAACACAAAAATATATATACAAATTGTATATGCATGAATAAAAAAGAAAAACCGTTTTATTAGTACTAATACGTTTTTGTTTTGTTTGTTTTTTTCAGAGTGAACACTTCTTCATGGCGTGAGATCAATCGAACAAATTTTCATTACTATAATGAAAAAAAGTCTAATTACTGTAATATATCTGGATGTTATACTAGTTTGTATGCATTTCTTCATTATGATTCATGTTTTTTTATATTGTCATTATTGTTATTGGCCATTTAGTTAATAAAGTTTAACATTTAACTAATACATACTTTTTTATCTTTTTTTTTCCACAATAGAATTATTACAATGGTGCATGTGATATATATATTAGGGCTGTGCAAAAATTAATTGCGATTAATCACATCCAAAATAAAAGTCTGTGTTTACATAATATATTTGTGTGTGCTGTATGTAATTATTTTGTATATATAAATACCTATGCATATATGTATATATTTAAGAATTATTTGTGCTTAAATTCTGTATATGTATATAAATACATAATCTATATTATATAAATATTTTATATACGAATTACACATTTTCTTAAATATATACATACATGTGTGTGTATTTAATTATACAAAATAATTATATATAGCACACACAAATATATTATGTAAACACAGACTTTTATTTTGGATGCGATTAATCGCAATTAATTTTTGCACAGCACTAATATATATATATATATATATATATATATATATGCATATATGTATATATTAGGCCTGGGCAACGATTATTCGCAATTAATTGTATCCAAAATAAAAGTTATTATTATTTTGTATATATAAATACACACACATGCATGTATATATTAAAGAAATATTTGCATGTATATACTGTAAATATATCTATACATCATTTATATTAAATATTAATATTTTTTTATAATGATAACACATTTTTCTTAAATATATACATGCATGTGTGAATATATATATATATGAAGAGTTCAGATGCAAAAGCCTCTAAGTGCCATTTGAATTTTTTTTTCTAGAATGATACATTTTATCAAGCTTGTATATTTCAGTTCAGTAATTTCACTTAAATTGCAATGAAGATTACCTATTAATTGTCATTACAGTGAAATTATTGAACTTAAATATATAAGCTTGATAAAAATTATCATTCTAGAAGAATGGCACTTAGAGGCTTTTGCATCTGAACTCTTCATATGTGTGTGTGTGGGTGTGGGTGTGCGTGCGTGTGTCTGTCTGTGTCCTGGTAAACCCAACATTATGGGGACAAAAACACCGGGACATCATGTATACACTACTTGATTTCGTGACAACAACGACTCCAAAAAGCTTGAAAATGTTATGCGAACAAAGCTCTGTTAATATTTAATATTCAACAATATTATTGGTCTGACTGTACTGACGCTGTTGAATGAGAACTGAGCAGGACGATGACATCATTTTCAGCAGAACTGCTTTATAGATGAGATTAACTCATTTAATAATTGATGATTTTAAAAAAGGAACCTGGATCAAAACTGAACAGACGTCAGTCGAAGTGCATTATTTCCCTGTTATCACTGTTAAGCTGCTTTGAATCTAATTCAGTAATATACAAAGTCAGTTTGACAAGTTGATGAGGTTACTTGGAAGAGCCGAGTTGTCAGTTGGGAAAATATGCACCATATCTGTGTCAATGAAACTTTAAATAGGGAACGATCATAAATCACTGCTGTCAAGCCGTACAGTAGGCTAAATATACAGTAAATCATGTAGATTAGCGTGTGAAGAGTGTTTACCGCTCGCTGGCTTGTCATCATGCTGGATTCGCTGAATTTGAAGGACGTGCCGTTCAGTTTTCCAGGCGAGAACTGGAATTTAGGCTCGCTGAACTCTGTCGCTGGAGACGGAGCTGAGAGGTGCAAGCAGATTACAACACACACACTTTAGGGAAAGCACACAGTTAAACATGTGTGACATTTATTTCAGCAAAAAATACATTTCAAAGGCATCACATATACTATAATTTGAGAGAATAGTTTCTCTAAATAGATGTTATTATTCGTACTAACCCTTTATTATAACTTTCATTAACAAAATTCACAAACACTATTACGTCTGGAATAGTGTGACATCTAAAACTACTTTAAACTTTCTAATTCTTGCATTAAAAAAAATGATATGATCAAAATGTGTTTACGTTGCTTTCACTCATCACAATAAGCAATGTTCTACTTTTTTTAGTTCTACGAGATTCAACTCATTTTTTAAAAGTCAGAACAAACAAGTTAATTTAAAGCAGCAACTTTTTTTTTACAGTGTACATGTAGGTGTATGACTACATGTTAATTGAGATACTGCATGTAAATTAGAAAAATTATTTTGTTACATGAAGGGATAATTAAATAAATGTGAACACGTATAATAATAAATGGTGACCACTTTAAATGCACACTTTTCTCTTAAATATAATTGACAACATTTTACATTAAGGTCCCATTAGTAACTAACACATTTTTATTTAACATTAGTTATAAAAAAAAGTATATATAATTTCTATGTATAAATTATTGTTACACCCCTAACACACACACACACACACATATATATATATATATATACACACACACACACACACACACACACACACATATATATATATATATATATATATATATATATATATATATATATATATTATTATTATTATTATTATTATATGACAATATGTATTATGGATAGTTCCAAAATAAAAATTACTATGAGAAAAAAAAAAAAAAATTCAAGTTTTCAGAGTTTTAGTGTACGTACGTACTACATTAAACTACTAGGCCTACATATAATATTGATTATAATGTATAATAATGCATTTTGGGAATATTTTTGGGTCCTGATAATATACCAAATGTCTGATGTTACCAGTAAAAAGTGGCCGACATCATTTATATCTAGTCAGTGAAAGCCTGCAAGCATATTCATCTACAATAGCTCAGTAATTTTAGCTTCAGAATCATGAATATTGTTATTCTGGTGTCAGCATTATCCTTGAGTTACAAGCACCAAGTCCAAGTCTATTCATTTAAACCCACAATGTAATATCAAATTTAGTATTTTAATCAACATACATTTTGTGTTCACCTTTTACTTCATGTCTTGGAGTATCACAATAATATCGTATAGTGAGTTCAGTGTATCGAATCGTGACATGAGGGTATCGTTAAACCCCTGATTATATATATATATATATATATATATATATATATATATATATAAGAAATGTTTGTTAGTAAAAGTTATTATAATGCTACAAAAAATCAAACAGAATCTGCAAGGGGATTGAACATGACACATTGCTGTCTCTTAATAAAAAAGCACAAGTCCTCAAGAGATATTAAAAGCAAATGAATGAAATCAGCAAACTTCTGCCCTAAACAGTGTGTCACATCTAAGCACTGGGTGGATCCCGATATTGTGTCTGTGCTAAAAGCCTATAGTAATTTGCCTATTTAGACAGCATTTCTGTCATCATGTGATGTTACAGTTTAGTCTTGGCTAATGGCTGCTGTGCTTTCAGCAATTGTTAGCCTACAGATGCAGTTTTAAGAGTTAAAATAACTACACCACTTCTGTACTGTGACACACAGACACAGAATAATTAGTGTCAGAGGTTACAGTAATCTCTTACAGGGTAATGTCCACATCACACACTACGGGTGGTGATGGCGCAGTGGATAAGACACATGCCTTTTGGTGTGAGAGACCCGGGTTCGAAACGACTTTGAGCAAGACTTTTAACCCCTGGTTGCTCTAGAGGCGGGCGACCTCTGACATATATAGCAATTGTAAGTCACTTTGGATAAAAGCGTCAGATAAATGAATAAATGTAAGTTCCCAGCATGCATAAATCATGTGGTTGCATGCATGTTTTAATATGTAAACCCTTGTAAAAATGTGTTTAATTGCAAATAGAATGTTTTACTTTAAAGTACATTGTAAATCATTACACTTGTTAATATTCTGCCAAGCTTTATGTTCGTACACTTGACTGACATACTAAAGCACCTGTAAAGAACTTGATTGTAATTTTATCCGTACTGTGACATTTCATATTAAATTTAAAGGTTTTTGAAATGTACTAAACGGCAACTTTAATTGTGTAATTACAGTTATATTTAAATACATGATGTACACGTTTCAATAGAAATGGAGTTAAAGTACATTGAAGTTTATAATTGCTCGGTACATTCAGCAATAACTTTAACCATATTTCAATAGAAGTAATTATGATGGCATATATAAGGTGAACTCAGTTCTGACTAAATGCACTTAATATAAATCTAAACTAAAATACATTTTCATTTAATTGTAAATGACAACGAACAAGTGTCTGAAAACATTAAATCAAGTACTTAAGTATATTTTTAACAAATAACTTTTTCAACACTGAATCTAATACTACACATATTTAACTATTCATGTGTATTGGTCAATCTCAAGCAATTTTATTTATTTTTTTTACAAGGTTTAAGCAGAATATGAGCGCATGTTTTCTCGATCCTGTTACCGAAAATCATGTCATTTAAAAAACAAGTTTAGAAGCAAGTCAATTAATTCCTTTGTTTTCCCCACAAGAAAGTGTTTATTTTAAATAAATTGTTGGTTATATGTTCAAAAAAAATTATATTTGTGCAAATAAAATTACTATTAGGTGTATTTTGATCAAAAAAATACAAAGGCATTTTTTCATTTTAAAGACGACCAAAGGTTATACATTTTTTTATTAATTCATTAAATAATTGTAGAAATTATGGGCCAAATAAAACTGCTAAAAAATAGTGGTTTAATTTTATTTATTTATTTTGAAAAAAAAAATAGTAACAGAACTGAGAGCAACAGGATTGAGTTTTTAAGCAAAAAGTGATCAAATATATGGCATATGGACATAGCGTTGATGCTAATAGCGTGAGGACACTGAGCCATTTCTAGTGCCTTACCAAAAGTTAATATTTTTTTAAATAAAAATTTAAAAAAAACTAAGAAAAAGTTTAGGTAACAGGACTGTGTGTTGAGATTGACCTTCTCATATACAATTTCATCAAATATACAGAAATGAAAATGAGAGGAGTGACTTATAGTCACCCCATTGCCTTCATATGATCCAGACGATGCGACTACTTGTGTCTTGTGGAATATTCTACGTTTTTTAGAGGGGGTATGTAATTGTCTAACAGGGACATGACTTAAATGTGTATTTTATCTAAAAAATTAGATCAAATGTTTTGTTCTTTTTTTCTTTTTTTCATTTTAAAGCAGTTTGGATATAAAAGTCACACAACAATGCAAGAAAAATCAGATATCTGAAGGATTTTAATCATAATATGTCATGGTAAAATTTAGAGATAGAGAGTTGGGACATGCAGAAAGTGTTATTTTTTAGTGTTCTGTGTCGTTTTTATTAATGTTTTTAATTATACGTTTTAAATTTGTAGTTAGCTTAATGTGCATGACATTCTGCTTAATAATAAAATGTATTTTAGAGCTAATTTTCATGCAATTGTATACATATAATGTCCTAGGGACAGAAATGTCACCCTTTACAGTGCGATACAGCAGCATTTTAGACAAAATGTGCCTATGGGCATAAGTTGGGCCTATCTATCTCAGAAGATTTAGAGGCACACCCAGGCTGTCAACGAATTGTGTTTGTTATATTATTTAAATGAATGCAGCTTTGCCTCAAAGACCTGCTTCAACTTGCTTATGAAAAATGTTTTCATCCGAAAAAAAACCCCTCTTTTTTATATTTTAAAAAATATATTTTTTAATTATTTTTATTAATTTTATGCATGGTTTATCTATTTCTTTATTTTATTTTATTTTTTTAGATCTGCTACTCCCAAAAGATGAAATAATTATACATTTTGTCAAGTTAAACACACTGGACAAATCAATTGGTCAAACACAGTAAATTGGTTCGTTTAGAAACACAATGCGATACTGCCAAACAAACATGCAGGTTGGCGTATTAAAGTTGTGAGCTTCGTATTATTGTCTTATGGCTTTCCTTATGCATTTGTGCAAATAAACAGCACACTTACTTGAAGGCGACGGAAGGGAGCCACTCTTGACCATCTTCGACTTGCTCCTCTTGATGCTTTTCACCTGCTCCAGCACGCGCTGCTGTCCCGTGTGCTGTTTCTTGTCGGACGGCAGGACCAGCGAGGTGTCCTCGGTCGACACGCTGTCCATAGCCGAGCGAATCGGTTCGTCAGTCATCGCTGCTTCCGTGCTTCTGCTCGCACCTTTGGTTAAAGCCGACACGGACTCCTGTTCGGCTGTGTAGACTGACTGACAGAGAGTTCGCGCACTTCTGTGGAGGAACGACCACACCTGGGCCACGCCCACTGGAGGTGTCGAGCCGCGGGCCAATCACAGACCCACATTCACTTTTTAAACCTGTCAATCATCTGTTACCGCGTCAACAGCACAATTGCAGTTCACATGCATCTATCTATCTATCTATCTATCTATCTATCTATCTATCTATCTATCTATCTATCTATCTATCTATCTATCTATCTATCTATCTATCTATCTATCTATCTATCTATCTATCTATCTATCTATCTATCTATCTATCTATCTATCTATCTATCTACACACTAAAAAATGCTGGGTTGTTTTAACCCAATTTTGGGTCAAATATGGACAAACCTGAAATGTTGGGTTAAAAATGTAATGTAAAAATTTAACCCAACGGCTGGGTTAGTCCATATTTGTCCCAAAGTTGGGTTAAAACAACCCAGCATTTTTTAGAGTGTATCTATCTATCTATCTATCTATCTATCTATCTATCTATCTATCTATCTATCTATCTATCTATCTATCTATCTATCTATCTATCTATCTATCTATCTATCTGTCTGTCTGTAAAAAAAGACATGCAAAAAGTTTGCATATTTAGTAGTAATTTTTTTATTTTCAATATCTGATAGCATGAGTCTCAGAATGGTTACTCTGCTATTTCTGTCTATCCATGGAAAGACTTGTTCATTAGAAAGTGGCATGCGGTTATAGATTGCACAGTGTTCTCATGCTTGTGGATGATGTGAGATCTTTCAGACCGAAGTGACAGATTCCAAACATTCACTCTGAAGAACAACACGGTATAACTGTCCCGCACACACTTCAGTGCTTCACCTTCCATGACTCCCACTCAGAAGAAAGCCTGAAGTGTTGTAACTCCATATTATAATTATCCCGTCCTATACAGCCACACCCGACAGTACTACTACTTTCTCATGCTGTTAACAAAGCAAACATTAATTTGCTTTTTAATATTACTTATGGCAATGGTTTCCCTACTCATTAAATATAATAAAGCCTATAGAAGCCACAATCTTTAACCAGTTGCTTTTGAAGTCTGTATTATGTTAGTTAATAAAATATCAATGTGGCCTACAGAAGCTATAGAGCTAAAACAATATTAATATGATTTTTTTGTGTATAATTATCTTGCATGTAGATTTACGAAATGAGAAAGAATATTTGTACTAATTTACATTAATATATAATATTATATAATGTAATAATTAAATCTAATGTGAATAACACTGTATAAATATATTAACCTAAATTTGTTATTTGTCAACTACCCACTAGGTAAAAAAAAACACTTTTACTACCTTCAAATTTATTGAAAGGAAACGTTGTTGATGCTGTTTGTCTCTTCACTGGAACCAGTTTAGAGTTTCCCAGGAACCAAATGGAAGCAAAAATAAAAATTGCTTGCTAACCACAGCAAACAAAAACAAAATTAGAGACTGAATCGGTATTGTTTACTCTTTACTTCCACAAATCCGAGATATATTTACTTCATTATACAAATGTCTGTGTCACTTTCTTTTATGGTATGTGTACTACTGGTAATATAATGTTAAAAACATGGGTTAAGGTTAGGTTTAGGTAGGTTAAGGGTTAATCTCTAGTTATTAACCAGTTATTGAAATTACTATAATGAGCACATAATATCAAACAGGAGTGTAAAATAACTTGCTACCCGAATTCAATGAAATAACAAAGGCTGAATTTATTTGAGGAATTTAGGGTTGAGAAGAAGTTGTCTTCTTAAATTGTGTTCTTACACACAAGAGCACTCTCTTGTGGAAAGAAATAGAATGATTTAAAACACCCTACAGTAAATATAAAAATGCTTTAGAATACTGATTTATTTATTCATGATTATGATGAAATGACATTCAAAACAGTGTCCACATAATTGCCTAAAATGTGACGCTAGTAATACTTCAACAACAAACCGTTAAAAAAAAATGTCTCTTTCGAGTTACATTAAAATATCAGTAAGCAGTGTCTTTACAAGCAGTGACAAGCACAGAACTAAATAACTCGCCCTCGTAAAAACGAACTTTCCATTCAAGCCTTCCAGATATTGAGTTGTTGAAATGCAAAAGAGCAGCAGCTCCGTCATGATTAATGCCTCCATTGACTGAGTTGAGGTAGGTATAGCCTCAGAGCACTGATCTCGGGTCAGCTCTTCAAGTTATATCCTAATAGCTAGTAACACTGAGGTACAGTAACCTGATCCCGGACCAGCACTCAGGCCATGTTTGCACTTGGTATTAAGGCCCGCACACACCGGGACGAATATCAGCGCTCGTTATTCGCCAGCGCCAATTTTCTCTGCAATACCACTCCATCACAGTTCTCTTTTATGAAGATGTTTGTAGTCACTGTCGCATTTGTCATATAGTTCTTTCTTTATGTTTAAACATCAACGAGACCAGCAGCTCTAAATTCATCTAGCCCTACATCTTCCTCGTCTTATTTCTTCCTGGCTGTGTAGACGGCGACGCTACTTGCCGTATCTTCTTCGCCATTGCATATGTGTGCTCGGCAAGACCGTTTTGTGTTTGAGCGCCCCCAAGTTGTGTTTTACTGTAACTTCAGAAGCTCCAAACACATGAGCAAAAGCGCCAATCTCACTGGTCGGATAGTTTTTGATGTGGCGCGTCAAACAAAAAACAACAAAAAAAACAAACCCGAGGTGTTTTTAAAAAAATTACGCTATTACGCGTGACGTTTTACGCGTCGGTGTGCACACTCACATTGGCGCCCTTTATTTAGTCACGAAGCGTTAGGCATCGGCGAATATCGCACACGTAATTCGTCCCGGTGTGAACAGGCCTATAAGATGCGTTTTGGTCGATCGGATCACAAGTGAACGACGCTAAATACAGGTGTAAACGAGTCTAACAAGTTTTGAGCTTGTCCACTTTCCACGACTTCCAGAGGTAGTTGAAAACACATTAGACCGGATTGCTTTCGTTGTGTAAACGCTCATGTGGTCGAATGTGTTCAAACAGCCACAAAAGACCGTCTACCCTCCGCATACTGACCAAATGAGTAAACATGGGAAGCGCTAAACACTATCTCACAATCAATTTGTACGAATTTGTACGAGTGAGTAAAGCTGGCTAATTCGTACGTCGTACGATTTGTCTAAACCCCAGTGACGGATAGGTTTCGGGGCGGGGTAAGGTGTAGGTCATTTGTACAAATTCATACGAATGAGCCACCTCATAAAATTCGTACGAATTGCCGTGAGATCAGGGTTGGAAGCACACTAGCCAGACGGGATTCAAACTGTCGGCTGAAGACCCAAGTTTGGTTTGAAGATGAAAAACGTACCAAGCTCAATGTTCTCTCACCGTTCCTGATTTATAACACACAGCATTCGTCTGGTCTTGCGGCTGTCAGAGCAGAAACTAAAGCTGATGCTCGCCGTATATTTTCCCATTGTCTCTCTGCGCGTTCAAATTTAAATTCAATTTAGTTTAAATTGTGTGAGCTTATTTTATGCATTATGGCGCTTTTCCACTGCATGGTATAGTACGGTTCGGTTCGGTACTGAACGTTTTGGCGCTTTTCCGGTACGGCTCGGTTCGACTCGACTCACTCATGGCACATTTCCACTGCATGGTACGGTTCGCTTCAGTTCGCTTTAAATGGTACCTGGTCTGTTGAGGTTCCAAGCGTACCATACCGGTACTAAAATGTGACGTGAAACACTCCAGATCACTGATTGATCAGACAGAATCGTCACTACCAGCGTCATTGCATTTGCGACGCGAGAAACTAAACCCGCTAGATTTAAGCCAGTAACAGCCACTGCTTTAGCGACTGCTTTTAAACTAATCCCACCCACTTTAAAGCGGTACTAACTGCAGTGGAAAAGCAACCGAGCTAAAGCGAACCGAGCCGTGCCGTGCCGAGCCGCACCACGCAGTGGAAAAGCAAAGTGAGTCGAACCATGACGCGCCAAACCGTCCTGAGCCGTATCGAGCTGTACCAGCAGTGGAAAAGCGCCATTAGATCTAAAGATCTGTAAAAAAAAAACATAAATTTCCCCGCCAATAGACACTCCCCTCGAAGAAATCAGGACAGAAGTGTAGTAAAGCTGGCTAATTCGTACATCGTACACATTCATGCGATTTGTGTAAACCCCGGTGACGGATAGGTTTCGGGGCGGGGTCAGGTGTAGGTTTGTACAAATTTATTCGAATGAGCCACCTCATAAAATTCGTACAAATTGCCGTGAGATCAGGTTGGAAGCACACTAGCCAGACGGGATTCAAACTGTCGGCTGAAGACCCAAGTTTGGTTTGAAGATGAAAAATGTACCAAGCTCAATGTTCGCTTTAAATGGTACCTGGTCTGTTGAGGTTCCAAGCGTACCGTACCGGTACTAAAATGTGACGTGAAACACTCCAGATCACTGATTGATCAGACAGAATCGTCACTACCAGCGTCATTGCATTTGCGACGCGAGAAACTAAACCCGCTAGATTTAAGCCAGTAACAGCCACTGCTTTAGCGACTGCTTTTAAACTAATCCCACCCACTTTAAAGCGGTACTAACTGCAGTGGAAAAGCAACCGAGCTAAAGCGAACCGAGCCGTGCCGAGCCGAGCCGTACCACACAGTGGAAAAGCGAAGAGAGCCAAACCGTACTGAGCCGTACCGACCCGTGCCAGCAGTGGAAAAGCGCCATTAGATCTAAACATCTGAAAACCATACATTTCCCCTCCCCTCGAAGAAATCAGGACAGAAGTGGTTGAAAATGGACAAAAGAGACGTATTAAAACACCAGGTATAAACAGGGAATGTGTGTGATTCGATCCACCAAAACGCATCTTAAAGGATTAGTTCACTTTTCAAAAAACTTTTGCTGATAATTTACTCACCCCCATGTCATCCAAGATGTCCGTGTCTTTCTTTCTTCAGTCAAAAAGAAATTAAGGTTTTTAATGAAAACGTTCCAGGATTTTTCTCCATATAATGGACTTCAGTGGGAACCAAACGGTTCAAGTTCCAAAAGAAACTTTCAGTACAAACTGCAAACTTGTTCAAAGGGCTTTAAACGATTCCAGACGATAAATGAGGGTCTTATCAAGCGAAACGATCGCTCATTTTAAAAAAAAAAAAAAACAAAGTTTAAATTTTATAAGCTCAAATGCTCGCCTTGCTCTGTTCTGTGGTGCACGTTCGTGACTCTCCTCGTTCAACAAAATGAACAAATCTTTTTCCGAATCAATTCGTTCGTTTCTTTCGCTGAATGAACTAAATGACTCGGAAAAAGATTTGTTCATTTTGATGAACGAGTTCGAACAGGAGTGCGTTACAGAACAGGCGAGCGGTTGAGCTTATAAAACTTAAACTTTGTTATTTATGTATAAAACGAGCGATCGTTTCGCTTGATAAGACCCTTATTTATCATCTGGAATCGTTTAAAGCCCTTTGAACAAGTTTGCAGTTTGTACTTAAAGTTTCTTTTGGCCCTTGAACCGTTTGGTTCCCACTGAAGTCCATTATATGGAGAAAAATCTGGAATGTTTTCATCAAAAACCTTAATTTCTTTTCGACTGAAGAAAGAAAGACACGGACATCTTGGATGACATGGGGGTGAGTAAATTATCAGCAAAAGTTTTTTCAAAAGTGAACAACTCCTTTAACACCAGGTGTAAACAGGGACTTAGGGGTCAACCTTATTCCTCTCGTTTAAAGGAACTCGACGGCTGGAGCTCTGGAGAGCCATCGGAAGATGAAGATCCAGACACTCTCCATCCTGTGAGTTTAGCGTGGAGCTCGTTCGAGGTCAGCAGCATCTGGTCTTCAGTCTCTTTCAGGACTTTGATGTGTGTGGTGAAGAGCATGTAGAGCAGAGCTCCAGAGAGGAGTGCGCCCATGCACACGGCTCCCAGAAACCCTGTGGTGGTGAAGGAGCAGTGGCACAGGCAGGGCAGCAAGACCAGCAGCAGGAGCAGGAGAGCACCGCACATCAGACGCACGGCCTTGTCCCGCAGGGCTTCTGTCAGACACAGGCCTTCCTTCACCACCGCACGCGCCTCTGAGACCGCCTCCATACGCTCTGATACAGGAAGTGCTGGAGGACACACAATAAAAACATTCATTAGACCTTATTCACTGCAGGCGCCGTCTTTGATTTTCAACAGGAGCGAAAGAGAGACTGTAAGAGATAGATGTACATCTCATCAGCTCACCTGAGTCGGGTCAGAGGTCACTCTTTCCCCAGAACTAGACTCGTCAGTGATTATAGTTTATAAAGTCATAAATATGGATATGTTTCTTACAAAAACGCATGACTTTGCTTCAGAAGGCCTTTATTAACCCACTGGAGCCGTATGGATTACTTTTATAATGGAGGGATGCACTTTTATGGGCTTGAAAAACTCTCATTTTAAAGCTTGGAAGAGTCCGGGAAGTCCGTTTGTGTTTGGCTGAAAGAAGATAGTCGTAGTCGTATACGCTAAGGGTGACTTTTGGGTGAGTAAATTATTATTTTTGGGTGCCTAACCTTTTAAACTGCCCTCATTATGCACAATAATGCAACTATGATGTATATTGGAAAGATAGGGGTTGCTGTGAAACTTCACAAACACTCAAACCAGTGAAACCGACATACCATAACTATATAACAAGCACATATCCACTATTCTGTAGGCTGTAGGCAGTCCTGTATACCAGTTTCCCTACATTCCTTTTTGACAACTGACACTAAATACCTCCATCTACCTTATATGAATGTAAATTTAGTCACCAGTATGGACCTGTGCACCACCAGAATGCTGCTTTGGGGACATTTTAAGCTTTTTTGTAGGACTCACTGAAGTCTTGTTTGTTACTGGACAAAGAAAAGTTAGTGTAAACTATTAAAGTAAAGTCATTGGTTTGTAAATTGTCTTTAAAATTTCATATAGGTCGTCCATCACATGGTATTTGACCGAACAATGTGCAGAAGAATCACACACATAACTCCTAATGACAAATATATTGGCATGTAGCTTTTGTCCCTGCTTCCTCATTTACTTCCCCAACAAATCACGTCTAAACATAAAGGAAAATAATATCAAAATGCCATTGCTGATGTCAATCGGGTCTCATAAGAAGCCATACTCATTTGTGAGATGGTTAAAACATAAGAAAAGACACAAAATGTACAAACTAAAACTAAACTACTGTTCAAAAGTTTGTGAACATTAAATATTTGTGTTGTTGTTGTTTGTTTTTTTTAAATAATGCTTTTATTTGGCAAAAGATTTCTATTTCAAATGTTCTTTTGAACTTCCCATTGTAACTGCTTACAACATTGATAATAATAATACAAGCTTCTTGAGCATCAAATCATCATATTAGAGTGATTTCTGAAGGGTCATGTGACACTGAAGACTGGAGTTATTTTGAATGATCATAATATTTCAAAACATTACTGTTATCACTGAAGGACTCCACATTTTTGAACGGCAGCGTAAAAGTAATCATCCACCCCTAAACACACTATGAATATAATTGTGGAAAGAAAATGTTCTCCTACAATTCAAGCTGTACAATATCACACCAACAATAAAGAGCCGTCGTGAGAGTGTGAGGTGTGGATATACCCAGACAGCAACATAGTGTCGGCTCTAGGGCTGGGTATTGACACAAATTTCACAATTCGATTCGAGTTCGATTCACAAGCTTGCAATTCGATTTGATTTCGATTCCGATTCGATTCAATATTGATTATTTTGGATATCAGTTACAATAAATGGCTATTTTCTCAAGGAAATCAAATCTCTTAAAGGGATACTCCACTTTTTTTGGAAATAGGCTCATTTTGCAACTCCCCCAGAGTTAAACAGTTGAGTTTTACCGTTTTCGAATCTATTCAGCCGATTTCCTGATATTTAGAAGAATATCAGTAACCAGACCGTTTCTGGTCTCATTGACTACCATAATATATATTTTTTCCTACTATGGAAGTCAATGAGACCAGAGACGGTCTGGTTACTGATATTCTTCTAAATATCAGAAAATCGGCTGAATAGATTCGAAAACGGTAAAACTCAACTGTTTAACTCTGAGGGAGTTGTAAAATGAGCCTATTTCCAAAAAAAGTGGAGTATCCCTTTAACTAATGCTGTAAACTATGGCTGATTGAGCGAATCAATGTGACATGATATGGATTTCTCTACTCTATCTTTAACACACTTTCAGACGCTCATTCATGTTTATTTCGCGCTGTAACTGGTATTATTAAGCCGGAAGAGAGATCAGCGCTGCTGCTGCTCTTGAGCTGCGCCAGAGCGATCTCATGCCACAGGGCCGAAACGTTATTTATGTTTTTGAATTTCTAAAGAAATTGAACGTAATTTGAAATTTGAGACTTTGTTTCATATCAATAGTAACAAAGGACAAAGATTATTGCGATTTCTTGGATGCGCGCAGCCGCGATACAATGTTCCATTCATTCAAATGAAACAGGATGACTAATCGATTCTTGAGATTTAAGAATCGATATCGGTTCGTAAAAATGAGAATCGAATAATATCGAGAAATCGATATTTATTACCCAGCCCTAGCCGGCTCAGATCCGGCCCACATCTGGTACGCGTTGGGCCCGGATCTGGCCCGACACTATGCAGCAGTCCAGCAGGTTTTCCTTGGTTGTACTGATCTGTGAGGTTCTGTACTCACCATTCCTGCGGTCCTCTGACCGTAGCAGGGCCAGGTCAGCAGTCAGGGCCTCGTGGTCAGAGTACGGGAAGGGTTTATCAGACACTGAGCCCTTGGTAGTGGACAGGGACTCACATTTCATATTCACTCTATGGGAGCCCTTCACAAGAAGAAGAAACACAAACACTAATGTTAAATATGTTATATCGAAGAGCAAGCATGAATACTTAACATAACATCTATGTTCATTCGAAATTGAAGTTAATTTATAATATATAATATTTAGGGCTGTCAGTTAAACGCGTTATTAACGACGTTAATGCAAACCAATTTTAACGGCGTCAATTTTTTTTCACGCGATTAACGGTCTTTTGGCCTAGTAAACTTTATAGTTTGTTTGTAGTTTGCGGCGCTGCGCGCACTGCGTTATGAAACCCATTCATTTCAATGGCGCGCCACACGAGGACGTTTTGTTGCTTCGTCGACCAAAGCGCAACTCGCAAGCGGATCTAGCTAGACCAGAAACAAAACAACAGGCACGCCGCACAGGCTCGTTTGGACTTGCGAGCCGGCAAAATAGTTGGTTAACGTTGCGTTTTGAGTGGATGATGAGCGCGAGACACTGAAATGGATTCCAATGAGATTCTGAATGGAAAGTTTACTTGGTAAATTTACTTGAAAATGGTTCCATTGACAAGACCAAAGTGATCTGTGTGTTTTGTCGTTGTGAACTGAGCGATCATCATCGCAGCACGTCCAGTCTGAAACACCACTTGATGATGGCCAAGCACACACACACACACACAGCTGATGCGAATTCTCCGCCGCCTCGTTAATGTCAGGACTTAGTCAGTATTTCTTTCACCCTTTTATTGATAGTGTTACATTGCGTGAGAGATTATTTGCTCCAAGTGAGAATGTTAGTGTAAATTTTAACACAGTATATGCCAATGTTGTTTTCAATAAAAAAACATTTGCACAAAGCAAGCCGATCCACTTTTCCATGTTGATAAGAGCATTAAAATGAGAAAAAAATAATGGGACAAAAAGAAATCAAGTGACATTTAGATTAGATGAAAATGTGCGATTAATCGCGAGTTAACTATGATATTAATCCGATTAATCACGATTAAATATTTTAATAGTTTGACAGCACTAATAAACAGTGTTGTGCAAGTTACTTCCAAACTGTAATACATTAGGTATTACTTGTTACTGTTATTTAAAAGTAATTCATTACCTTACAATATTACTGTCTAAGAATTGTAATGCGTTACATTACTCATGTATTACTTTTGAGTTACTTTCACCAAAATAACTAAGTAGAACATAACTTTTGGGCTGTAACGATATGCAATATGAAACCGAAATCGCGATTCGCCACACGACTCAGATCCACGAACCTACAGAATCGCGACACGCCTCTTCCAACTCCAGCGTTATTCTCCTTACCGTCCAGATCCAATGCTGCCTTATCTTTAAATTAGGCTATTAGTATTATTTGAAGTTAACATTATAAAATACGTAGACCTACACCACAAAACTAGTTGAGGATAAATTATTTACAATTGGGGAAGTCCAGCATTATGGACATGATAACATTTGCAGTCAAAACTTAAAATAAAAATTCTCAGAAAATTCATGTATTGAAACGTATATAGGCTACTTCCTTAAAGCAGGGGTTCTCAAACATTTTGGTGCCAGGGACCCCTTTCAGGGGAAAAAAAATTCCAAGGACCCCCCTCATATTTATAACAGTTATTGAGCACAAAGTTAATGTGTGAGCGGCAAATGAAATATTTTTGCACAAAATGAATGGTCTCCACCCAGGGTACTATGCAGGAATTTCTAAATAGCCTACTGAGGTAACGAAAGTGATCTTGCTAGGAATCACTTAGGATCCCACACTTAGGAATTTTTGATGTTCTTGATCTACACATGTGCATTTTAAGGTGTTTTAAGGCCCCACAATTGGATAACTATAGATTTAGTAGAAGCATGTCAGTCAGTGGCATACTTTTTTTTTTTTGTCAAGATGTCACGAAACACAATCACATATTCCAATCAGGAATGGCCTTAAAAGATAATGTTTCAATAATTAGGCCTATTCTGCACACAAATAAAGCCCATAAGCCTATAAATACAATGATAATGGCATTATGTTTAATAGGTGCGTGCGTTGTTAATTTGAGCTACTGTAATTAGCTAAAAAAAACATACAGTATATGTTAAATATATGAATCTATAATGTTAATCTCATGGGCACAGTATGTTTCTATTGACCTGCTTTTTCCTTTGTTAAAGTTGAGCATGATTAATACTTTGCAAACTGATTGTTTCTGTCGTTTTTTAAAACTTTTATCTAAAACAGCTGTTTAGTTTATGTTAATTAAGGCCTACATCTTATCTCGCACTTTATGACCGTTGACTGAAACGTCGTGCGGGGAACTTTGAGTTCACTCCGACTCAAACATTTTGACATTGACGAGCTATCGTTGTTAGTCTGCTGAAGCACCTCAGACGAGAAGGTTAGTTATCATCGCGATGTGCATCCTTACAACCTCAGTTGTGGGTACGGCCCTGTCACTATGCACTTTTATTTTGATAATGATCAGACTTCTAATGTCAAATCTACAGTAGCAGTGCTAGAACTGACTATTGTGCGCGCACGCGAGACGCTGGCGCGCAATTACATGGGAATTTTTCCTCAGCAGTGGAAACAGGAATACTCTTATTTATGGTCATAGATAAGACAAGAGTGCATCATCCGAAACGGTAAAGTGTCCATTTTTTTATTTGTGTATAGGCTACATTATAAATGACTACAAAATGTCATGCCTTTTAAAAATACAGAAAAGAACCGGATGCGGGTTCATGCCGTCTCTCTGTCTCCTTTCTGGCGCACGTCCCGCAAAATCAACAGCAGCGATTAGTCTACTTGACGCACAGACATAGATTATCTATCTATAGAAAACTTTAAGTGTCTACTTTGTATTGTTTTATGTTAAATGCTTTATATAAGTTACTTAGGAATAAACAGCATGTTTTCAGATGATAAAGAAAACATGACTCATAGCATGGAAAAAAACGTTAGGTTGTAAATTATTTCGCGGACCCCCTGGCTTTAGCTCGCGGACCACCAGGGGTCCGCGGACCCCACTTTGAGAACCACTGCCTTAAAGGACTCCAGACATTAGACAAATATCAGTCTATGTTTTATTTTTAATATTAGGGAAAAGACACACATTCATGCGTGACAAAAAAATAAGAGGCAAAATATATTTTTTGTAATTCTGTTAATTACACTGCGCAAATCGGATGAGGAAGGGTTGGCTCTCCAGTCTCCATAGAACTTAAAATATTCATTTTATTTTAGTTTTCGTGTTCGCATTTATGAGGAAAAAACAATGTTACAGATGCGACCGTTCTGAACTGGCACTAAAAGACTGCTTTGAAACTTTCACATAGTCTGTTGCCTTTAAGAAGTAAAAGCAGACAACACACTGTAATACAACTGTAATACAAGCCTCACTGAACATGTAACGAGTAAAATATTACTGAAAATTGATTAGTAATGCCTTACACTACTGTGTTACAGCAAAAAGTAATATGTTACTGTAATGTATTACTTTTGTAATGCGTTACTCCCAACACTGCTAATACAATTGTAAGATTATTGTTTGAGATGAATTCACCTTGATGAGAATGTAGTCAATCCTGATGCCCTTCTCAAACGGAATAAGATCCTGCTTCTTTGTGAAGTGGTTGTCAGCTATCAGCGTGTGTCCATCTTCACAGCCCTGCCGAGAGCAACAGAAAGTGATGCTTCAGAGAAAAACAGGACGCACAAACAAACTCAACACACACATATAAAAGGAAGTGCGCTCACATCAAACATGTCAGTTTCAGTATAGCAGTCTCTGAGGCCAGTGTGGGATCTAATCAGACGGTTCCCAAGGTCCTGAGGGTGCATGTTCAGATCCCCTCCCAGAATCACCAGATCTGCTCCACAGGACGTGTGGCTAAAGAACCCATACGATATGAGTTTGCTGAAGGAATGTGACCTATTTTGTCTAGAAAACGCACATTCTCTTACCGCACAAACTGCAGGAGTTCCCAGGACTGCACTATTCTGTGGGGCAGGTATTCATCTTGAGCCCTGGAGTACTCAGCATGCAACTGAGAGCAAAGGAGTATCATTACTAAAGGTGCATCGTCTCCAGTTACTCGACTGAGCACGAATAACACAAAGCCAGATCAGACTTTAGAGACTGTGACTTACATGAGTAACATAGACGTGCGCCTTTAACCCGAAAACGTCAACAATGACCAGTCCAACTGCTTTGCCTCCGAACCAGTCGCCATGGCGCAGCTGAGATGAACACACACACATAAAATATCACATAATTTTTGATGTCCCAGTTTTTCCTAAGCAATAATGTTTCTTAGCTCACTGCCATAAAATAAACCTTGAAAGTGTGATCAGACCCCCAACATGGAGACATATTACACAACAATTAAGCAAATAAAATAAATGGTAAATTAAAGGGATACTCCACTTTTTTTGGAAATAGGCTCATTTTACCACTCACCCAGAGTTAAACCGTCGAGTTTTACCGTTTTCGAATCCATTCAGCCGATTTTCTGATATTTAGAAGAATATCAGTAAGCAGACAGTTTCTGGTCTCATTGACTTCCATAGTAGGAAACAAATATACTATGGAAGTCAATGAGACCAGAAACTGTCTGTTTACTGATATTCTTCTGAATATCAGAAAATCGGCTGAATACATCTGAAAACGGCAAAACTCAAATGTTTAATTCTGGGGGAGAGGTAAAATGAGCCTATTTCCAAAAAAGTGGAGTATCCCTTTAACTTTACCCATTTTAAGTTTTTTTTTTTTTTTTTTTTATGTGTGAAGAAAGAGACTGCAGAGTTAACTTATTATGAAGCACAATGAGATAATAATGAAACTAGCACAGCTACAGTATTTAAGAAATTAGTGCCTAGGATAAAAAGGCAAATATTGTTTAGCATCATTATGCAAAAATGTCTGATGGCAGTATAGCTACAGTAATATCCTAAAATAACTTACCATATATGGGTAGCCATTGAGAGAGTACTGGTAGAGCAGAGCGTCCTGGATTTTGTGTTTGGAGAAGACAGCAAGACCACTGCCAATGACTCCACTGGAAACACAACACAGCGTATCAGATACAAAATAACAGTTTCCTTTAGGGATCTCTCGTCTATGAATACACACAATCAGCTATGTATACACCAGCAAGCAGACAGCTGCACTCATTTTAGTATTATTAGGAACTGCAGTAGTGCTGCTTCCTAGATAAGTTAATTGATTACAAATTCTGCCAATTCAGCTTTATTGATTGCATGCCATAAGATCAATGTTTTTTTTTTTTTAAGGATAAGACATAAAGGTGGACTGAAGATACACAGTTCATGATGCAATATTCAATCAGATATCTCAAAATAAGACTTTAACCTTCTTAAAGGTGCAGAGATTTCTGAGAAACACTATTGATATTTAAGATCAACTCAAACAAACACAGCCCTCCCCTCATTGCTCCGCCCACACAATGCAGAAAAAAGCAATGCAAGAGTGATGTCTCTTTATCATAGCTGAAGTGAAGCAAAATAAGGCTTAGCGAAAAATAACACGAGGTTGGCGAACAAATGGCAAACAGCACACAAGAATATTTAGAAGCAGTAGACCAGCTCCAAACAAACAATGACACTCAACACTGTCCTGTAACTATAGCTAATAGTATAACAACAGCATATCTTGATGCTGTGAAACAGCAAAACCAATGTTGCTCACGTATGGAGCAGAAAAAACAGAACCTCACTGTCTGTTTACAGGCCTTCCCGCTTAGGTCTCTAGCACTGGAAAGCATTTCTAATATTACCCTGTGTCATAAAGCTCTTGCCTGGTAATAACCAGTGATATTCCTCTTTTGAAGGATTTTTCTCTTTTGTAATGTCTCTCAGCTATCTTGCTTTCTACAGTGTTTCTTACCCTACTGCTGGTTGGCTCACTGTCTCTCCTCCCCCATCATGAGTGGAAACACCCCCTACTGCTGATTGGCTCACTCTCTCTCCTACCTCATCATGAGTGGTCACACCCCCTACTGCTAATTGGCTCACTCTCTCCTACCCTATCATGAGTGGTCACGCCCCCTAATAACCAGATAATAACCAGTGATATTCCTCTTTTGAAGAATTTTTTTTTCTCTTTTGTAATGTCTCTCAGCCATCTCGCTTTCTACAGCATTTCTTACCCTACTGCTGATTGACTCACTCTCTCTGCTACCCCATCATGAGTGGCCACGCCCCCTACAGCTGATTGGCTCACTCTCTCTCCTCCTCAATCATGAGTGGTCTAATCCACTTTCAACAGTGTTTCTCAGAAATGATAATAACCAGATAATAACCAGTGATATTCCTCTTTTAATAAAATTTTTCTCTTTTGTAATGTCTCTCAGCCATCTCGCTTTCTACAGCATTTATTACCCTACTGCTGATTGGCTCACTCTCTCTCCTACCCCATCATGAGTGGCCACGCCCCCTACAACTGATTGGCTCACTCTCTCTCCTACCCCATCATGAATGGACACACCCCCTACTGCTGATTGACTCACTCTCTCTCCTACCCCATCATGAGTGGTCACGCCCCCTACTGCTGATTGGCTCACTCTCTCTCCTACCCCATCATGAGTGGCCACGCCCCCTACTGCTGATTGGCTCACTCTCTCTCCTACCCAATCATGAGTGGCCACGCCCCCTACAACTGATTGGCTCACTCTCTCTCCTACCCCATCATGAGTGGCCACGCCCCCTACTGCTGATTGGCTCACTCTCTCTCCTACCCCATCATGAGTGGTCACGCCCCCTACTGCTGATTGGCTCACTCTCTCTCCTACCCCATCATGAGTGGCCAATTCAATTCAATTCAATTTTATTTAAGTATAGCACACTTAAAACAACCAAGGTTGACCAAGGTGCTTCACAAGATAGATACACCACAATGCAAGACTCACACGATAAATAATAAAGCACTAAAATATTCTATAAATGAGTAATAATATTTGCATAAAAGATAAAAACAAAGATTATTATAAAATTGTCAAGAGGGATACCAAACCTAACTCGAATGAAACGCCAAGGAGAATAAATACGTTTTTAGCGATGATTTAAAACATTCTATAGTTGGACAGGTTCTGATATGGAGAGGCAGTTTGTTCCACAGTGTCGGAGCAGCTACGCTGAAGGCGCGATCACCTCTAGTTTTAAGTCTGCTTCTAGGCACATCTAGGAGGAGGACATTGGCAGACCTAAGCACTCTAGCTGGAGTATGGACATGGAGAAGCTCTTTTAGGTACAATGGAGCCAAACCATTTAGGCATTTAAAAACTAGGAGTAAGATTTTAAAATTGATCCTGTAATCGACCGGGAGCCAATGAAGTTGACGCAATACTGGTGTAATGTGATCCCTCTTTCTCTTTCCTGTCAGGACGCGGGCAGCGGCATTTTGAACTAGCTGTAGACGCTGGATTGATGACTTATCTAGGCCCACATATAAGGAGTTACAATAATCAAGGCGAGAAGTTATAAGAGCATTTATCACCCTCTCCAAATCCTTAGGAGGGAGATAGGCCTTTACCTTGGCTATTGTTCTCAACTGAAAGAAGAATGATTTAACAGTGGCAGATATCTGCTTATCAAGTTTAAATGCACCATCTAACATAACGCCAAGACTCCTCACATTTGAGCGAATGTTTGCAGCCAGAGGGCCGAGGGAATCTCCATCCAGCAAATCGTGGTGTCCAAACACCATGATCTCTGTTTTATCGGCATTTAGATTGAGGAAATTAAGATTCATCCAAGTTTTGATGTCTTCCAAAAAACAATCAAACAGCGGCTGCAGTGTTCTCTTTTTTTAACATTCAGGGGCAAGTAAATTTGAATGTCATCTGCAAAGCAGTGGAAAGAGACATCATATCTCGCAAAGATAGAGGCCAATGGTAGCATATACAAAGAAAATAGGATAGGGCCCAATACAGAACCATGAGGGACGCCACAGGTAAGTGGAGTTGTTTTAGAAAAATAGTCCCCAAGATAGACCGAAAAGCTCCTATCGGTTAAATACGATTGGAACCACGTTAGCGCCGTACCCTTAATCCCCCCACAATATTCCAGCCGCGACAGGAGAATTGAGTGATCCACCGTATCAAAGGCGGCGGTGAGGTCAAGGAGTACTAAGACAGCAGAGTCCCCTGAGTCGACAGTTAAGATTAAATCATTAAAAACTCTCAAGAGCGCCGTTTCCGTGCTGTGCCAAGATCTAAATCCGGACTGGAATTTTTCATACACATTATTATTAATTAAAAACGTTTGCAGCTGTGCGAGAACTACTTTCTCTAAGACTTTTGATTAAAAAAACAGTTTGGAGATAGGCCTAAAATTGGAGAGAACAGAGGGGTTTAGATTTTCCTTTTTTAGTAAGGGTTGGACAACCGCATGTTTAAAAGCTAACGGAACATAACCAGAAACAAGGCAAGTGTTTATCAATGTTAAAATACATGGTCCAATAGTTTCAAAGACTTCTTTAACCAAGCGAGAAGGAATGCTATCTGAAGGACAATTTGTAGGACGCAGATGGGTGACCACCTCAGATAAGGAGAAGATTGAAATAGGTTCAAAGTGATCCAATACTGCGGGGCAAATAGGAGGAACAGAAGGATCATAATCATAGGCACTAATTACAGACGATCGAAGGGCAGAGATCTTCTCAACAAAGAAGTTTAGGAACGAGTTGCAAATATCCACTGACGGCGTGATGGGGGCAGCGCTATGAGGGGTTGTAATGGAATTAAACATATTAAAAAGCACCTGCGGCCTATGCCGATTGTTTGCAACAAGTTTCGAGATATAATCAGATTTTGCTAATTTTACGGCTCTCTGATAGTCAGATAGATATTGTTTTAGGATTTCATATGACACTCTGAGTTTGTCCTTCTTCCATCTTCTCTCCGCTTGCCGGCAGGCACGTCTGATCGCTCGGGTAGTATCATTTAGCCAGGGCTCTGAAAGTGCTTTTGAGTGGCCACGCCCCCTACTGCTGATTGGCTCACTCTCTCCTACCCCATTGTGAGTGGCCACACCCCCTACTGCTGATTGGCTCACTCTCTCTGCTACCCCATCATGAGTGGTCACGCCACCTACTGCTGATTGGCTCACTCTCTCTCCTACCCCATCATGAGTGGCCACGCCCCCTACAACTGATTGGCTCACTCTCTCTCCTACCCCATCATGAATGGACACAACCCCTTCTGCTGATTGGCTCACTCTCTCTCCTACCCCATCATGAGTGGTCACACCCCCTACAACTGATTGGCTCACTCTCTCTCCTACCCCATCATGAGTGGTCACGCCCCCTACTGCTGATTGGCTCACTCTCTGTTTCTCAGAAATCACTTACAGTACCTTTACATGGGCAGTTCACCCACAAACAATAATTGATTTAATTGTTCATGTTGTTCCAAAACCTTTATTTTTTCCAGAGAACTTTTGAAGAATGTCCAACCCGCTCTTTTCCATTCAAATGAATGCAGAATGGTTCTTGTGTGTCTTATAACCAAAATTTACACACCAAATTTGTTAGTTTGTTTTTAGCAAATAAAAACTTAAATGTTGGTCTTTTCCTGAAAGAATGCTATCATGGGGTTGGAAAGAAACTCATACAGGCTTGGAACGACATGAGAGCGAGTAAATTATGACTGAATTCAATTTTTTTGGGTGAACTATCCCTTTATGTGGGGATTTTATTTCCCGCCTTTTGACCAGGATCTATTTTTTTTTCTCTATGTATTACTCAGGAATGTGGAAGAGCGTCTAGCTGCTTGATCGCTGATCAGAAGGTTTCAAAGTCTCTCTTACAAAATCCCAATCGCTTTGAAGTAGAGATCATCATTCACAGTCCCTCCATGTCATAGTGAGGTGAACTGACCTCTTGAAATAGTGAGTATAGGGATGAGAGGAGGACAGCTTTCCCTTCAGGAAAAGGAAATCTTTTTCACTCCATACCTATAGAACAATGTGAAAGAATTACCTAGATTAGTAAAAAAAAAAAAAAAAGTTTTGGTGGAATGTTAAGACCTGGTGTTATTCGTCAGGGAAATAGTGCAAAATGAAGTGCTAAAGCCTCGAGGGCAATGGGCTGAATGAAACCTTGATGGTAAGTGTGTTAAAAGTGCACAGTGATACCCACTTCCTGTAACAGGGCGATGTCGTGCTGCTCTCGGTCCAGTAATTCCCCGATCATCTCATACCGTTGTGCGCAGTGTTGACTGAGGAATCGGATTCCCCTGAAAAGCATCAAACCACAGTCACTGTAAGTCTTGCGATCAACCTCTAACCCACATACAGAACAAAACCTCCATAACTGCACACACATGCAGTCGTTATCCTCCACGTCAACACAGCTGACCTCATCAGTTCACAGCTTCATACACACTTTAAATAAGTGATGCGTCATCTAAATCAGGGGAAGTATTGAAAACCACATTTTCGGTCTCAGCTGTACAGTAACAATCTGCATTAATGTGCAATTGCTGAAGTTTGGGCTGTTGTTCTGGAACATGGTGCTGACAGTGCTGGCATCAGCAGAGCGAGAGGCCCACACACACACACACACACACACACACACGTGACCGCTCATGTGCTTCTTTACCCTTCACACTAACAACTAGCAAAGACTGCTGCTAAACAGATACAATTTACAGCACATGTGTGTGTGAGTATGCACACACACACACACACACACACACACATACATACATACATATATATATATATATATATATATACAATGCAAATATTTTCTGATCTCTTACAACATTTCATAAGGATTTTTATAAACCATTTATAAGAGAGCAGATTATAACGATATATATTTTTTTTTTTAAACTGAGCATAACTAGATAAAAATGTCAACACTATACAATAAGGTTCCATATTTGTTAACATTATTTAACTACATTAGTTAACATGAACTAACAATGAAAAATAATTATTTATTAGTTCTACTTTGTGTTCATTTTAACATTTACTAATATATTTTTAAGGTATGGGGCAAATGTTGCATCTATGAGAAAGTATTGGCATAATCTTCTATTTTAAATGTGTTGTATTGCATGTAATTTGGTGTAGGTTGTTGTATTGTTTTTCTCTCTAATGGACCTTCTGGAAATAAAGTTGAATTTAATTGAATTATTAAAATCAAAAATTATATATATATTTAATCTGTTACATTATTTTGAGCTAAGATTAACAATGAACTGTTGTATTTGTATTAACTAACGCTAAAGATTAATATGTACTGGGAGAAATGAAGAGTTCATTGTTAGTTAAGTTTTATAACTAATGTAAACTAATTGTAAAGTGTTACCGAAAAAAAAGTATAGGCCTACAGTACTTTCTATAATTTTATTAATTTCTGTGACATTTCAAGGCCTGGAAAAATGCTCGAATAAGAAAATGAGATTGTATTATGTTGCTAAAGCTCAGAAACAACTGTGAATGAATGAAGAACCAATATATATATATATATATATATATATATATATATATATATATATATATATATATATATATATATTAAAGTTCAGTTGATTTATTAGTTAAATCAACTTTACTTTACCAACATCACCAAATACACAAGAATAGAGATTTATGAAATATAACTTTATGGCACAAAAATAAAAGTTTTATTTAGTTAAATCTCAAATATGAAGGAAAAATTACTTTATACAATTTATATTACTTTTAATTACTTTAAATTAATTTATAAAATTACTACATTATCTTCTTCAAAGCTGCGCGTTGTACTTTTAGAAGTGTGCAACAAACTCATAAAATATTCGTAAGCAAACCCATGCATATTTAAATAAATAAATAAATAAATAAATACAGCGAGCTATGTTTCTGACCCATTTAAAGAAGTGAACATTGTTACGCTGCGCACCGCTTATAATAGTATAGCCTACATATAAGCGCGTCATTTCGACGCGGAAGCATCATCGTGTCGCTCACCAGCAGTTGAGAGAGAACACGCGCAGTCTGGAGGGCCGCTCTGTTGCCATGGTTCCGCGCAGCTCAGGCTTCACCGGCTCCTGGGAGCGAGAGTCATTTGAGTGCGCTTTAAAGCCCAGTGTACTACACGCACACACAAACACTGGGGGCGGAGCTTAAACTAATCCACAAAGCAGCCAAACTCAGAGACATTTGAAACCCTACTGTGTATTCATTTATTAAAAGTATTTACAATCATATTTTATATTGATCTACGTTATCTAATGGGTTATAAACCTACAATAGCTTCACCAAAATGGTGTTAAGCTTACTTTATAAGCTACTCTCTCTTTGGTCATGTAAATACCTGCATGGGACTGACACTCGGATCGATGCTCCGCGCGCACTACAGTCGATCGCCTCGCGCTCGCCGCGAGCTCCCTTTCCGAGCGCGTGACCGTATTCTCGCATCGAGTGGTCGATCATCGTCCCGTCAAATGACCTCCAATGTATCTAGTGTATCACCTAACATTACAGAGCACAACGTAGCCCATGCGCATGACATACTGTAAACACCTGCGTGCATTGTGGGTAATGTAGTTAACTCATTTAATCCCGCATTTTTCCCAGCTATTCACCTTTTTCCTAAACCCCATGCCGTTTTGAACGAATTATGGGAGTAACTTTTGTTAAACTGTAAACAAGCAGTGAAATTTTCACTTTGAACACAATAATAAGCTTTAAAAAAAATGTGTACAATGAAATTACATTAGGCTATTCTACACCTTTCAACATCTAACATTAAAAGTAAATTTGAAAGTGTAAAAAGCAATAACTACAATAGCACGGAACATTGAGTGATAATATTTCATTGATTTCCATCATTTTAAGAGAAAATAAATATAGTTTATACTTGCTTTATATAAACATCCCAGCAAGAAGTAAAAAAGAGACTATAACATTTTAAAGCATCCGTGGGAAAACAAACCTGGAAAGAGACGTGAGGATTTGAGGAGAACATATTGTCATCACATCACATTAAATGACTAAGTGTTACCTTATTCTCTTTAAGTCTGAACATGAGAACATGAAGGAAAATGTAGAGTTCATTCAGTCAAACCGACAGATAAGGATTGGGCCTATATTTGTACCACAACCTTATGATTTTAAATGGTTTGGTTCAGACTGAACTTTTTGAGTGGAACTTACCCAAACAGGAAGTGCCTGCCTTAAAGGTCCCCTGACATGGGTTTTTTGTATTATTTTATAATGTTTCCGGGGTTATAGCCTACTAAAAAATACCTTTGTGTTCATTTGTACATCCGAACACTGAGCAACTGCCATGCTTCGCTCGTTTGCAAGCCATGATATTTCTCAAGGAAAAACTCAAATCTCCTTTCTCTAGGAAAAAATAAAACCGCACCTGCGCATGTTCGTACTTCCTGTTCCTAGCTTGTTTTCTCAGTCGGGCCAAATTCTCTGGGCGGGCAAAGCAGAGAAAGGGGAGTAACCTTTCCCCTAAATGACGTTATATAGGGGGAGATTCTAGATCAGCGCGTCTGAGATGCAGACGGAGAAGAGAAAAATAGCCAAAGCTCGGTTTACACCGATTGAAAATTCTAGACACGAGGGTACCAAATACAGTCTAGGGGAATTCATATTAATGTTCAAAAACCTCAGAAAATGAACATTTCATATCAGGGGACCTTTAAACTCAAAGTCTTTGTCAAAATGTGAAAAATCAAGTAACAGGACATCCTTCTAAATGCAAAGATATTCTGTGTACAGGTTTTTGGTCCAATAAGTAATATTTCAGTCTTATCTGAACTTAGAAGAAAATGACAGGTCATCCAGTATTGCATCTTTAACAAACTCTGTCAACTTGGATAATTTAGAGATGATTTTGATGAAATAGATAACTATCATTAGCATAACAGTGGATACTAATTCCATGTTTTTTCTAATATTTAGAAGCGACAGCATATATATTGGAAATAGCAGAGGTCCTAACACAGATCCTTGTGGCACTCCATTATTCACTTAATGTAATTAGATGATAATTTAATCAAGCACAGAGCGGACACAACTTTTTAGTATATATATATATATATATATATATATATATATATATATATATATATATATGTAAAATCACTTTAAAAAAAAAAAATATTTAAGATTAATAACTTACATTACAATACATTTTATGCCCCAGTAAGTACACTGTGAAAACCGGAAATTGTTACCTTACAGAGCAATTTTTACCTGGTTTTATTTGAATCAAACCTGTTAATAATGTGTTTTTTTGTTGGATTTATTGATGAGATTTTAGCTTCCAGGGCTCCAGTGTCACTTTAATTGGCAAATACATGAAACACTGACATTACAACCCTTATTTAATATTAACCAGAACAACAATTATATTGGAACAAAGCCAAAAAACAAATAAAAATAAAGATGGAAAAAAAATAGACATAAAATCCTTTCCTGTAACATTCTTAAAATATACATTGTAGAATTTCAAAATTAATTTCTTTTTTTTTTCTCTCACGCACACAAACACACAGATATGCACTCAAGTGCACAAATACACACTCTCACACAGAAGCATGATTTTTCTTTTAAAATGTTGTAGAAGCACACAATAAGGCAAGACTGGGTTTTGTGGGGGATGCGGTTCACATTTCGATTCTTTGGTTAAGATATTACAGATTAGTCTTCAATGTACAACTAAATAAACAGTCCTTTTTATGCAACGTGTGCTCTTCATAATGCATACAAATGTACCAAAATATGATGCCATAAATAATCAGATGATTGTCACTGATTACGTCCGACGCAGTGTCAAGGCGCTCGTCTTTAAAATCATATGTACGAACCACTGACGGTGATGGGTTAAAAAAAAAAAAAAATAAAAATCGATAAAAAATCCAACACCAAGCTGGATGCCATGAGTGGATCATAAAAAATAAAAAGAGTATTGAATCCACATACCGTATATTCTAAAAATCCAAACCTAGAGTGTTTCTACACTACTGAAAGGACCTGAGAAGAACACGTGGATCGGAATAGGCCGGATCTTATTGCACATTTTGATATGGAATTAAATGTTAATTTCACTTTGTGCTGTTCAAAATCCCCTGTTGACCAATGACATGCCTTACCACACTCAAAAAAAGAATAAGAGAAATATTACAATTTTACATTAAAATACAATGTTTTTGTTAGGAAAATACTCAAGCACCTAGTTAAGAGTATTTGCTTTGGCAATGATGTAATTAGCATAAAGTTCTTATATTAAAAACACTGAGAAATTAAAAGCAAGTGTTATGCTGAGATTTGTTTCGTCTTGCTATAACCCCATTAGAAAATAGTGTATCTGCCCTCTTTTGCTTTGGACTATGTAACCTGATCTACTGAATGTTCCTGCTTACTCACCAGTATGGCGAAGGTAGTGTAGACACAAAAGTGATAAGGCACTCAAGATGAGGGCAATCGAGTAAAACCATGCATATGTACTGTCTTTCACAATAATCATTATGGTTAAATGGCTTTATCTGGAAGCTTGTTTCCACCAGGAGGGGAAAAATATACAAGTAATTGTGACTTTTCTCACAATTCTGACTTTTTCTTGCAATTGTGAGTTTTTTTTATGACAATAAAAAAAAAATCCGCAATTGTGTTTATATCTCACTATTCAGACTTTTCTACTTTTTTCTCGCAAAAGCGAGTCATCACAATTCAAACTTTTCCACAAATTTAAATTCCACAATTCTGAGTTACATCTCACAATTCTGACTTTTTTCTGGCAATTGTGAGTTTTTTCAGAATGTTTTTTCTTCTTCACAATTTTAAGTTTTCACAATTTTGACTTTTTCTCTCAATTAAAAAAAAAAAAAAGCACCGCAATTCCGACTTTTTCCTCACAAAAGCAAGTCTATATCTCACAATTCTGACTTTTTTCTGGCAATTGTGAGATTTTTCAGAATATTGAGTTTTCAAAATTTTGACTTTCTCACAATTCAAAAAAAAATAAAATAATAATAATAATAAAAAAAATGCCCCGCGATTCTGACTTTTTCCTCACAAAAGCGAGTCTATATCTCACAATTCTGTTTTTTTTCTTCTGGCAATTGTGAGTTTTTTTTTTTCACAATTTTGACTTTTCACAATTTTGACTTTTTCTTACAATTAAAAAAAAAATGATATCTTACAATTCAAAATAAAAAAAATGCCCAGCAATTCTGACTTTTTCTCGCAAAAGCGAGTCTATATCTCACAATTCTGATTTTGTTTCTGCCAATTGTGAGTTTTTTTTCACAATTTTGACTTTCTTACAATTAAAAAAAAATGACATCTTACAAAAAAAAAAAAAAAAAAAAAAAAATGCCCTGCACTTCTGACTTTTCCCTCACAAAAGCGAGTCTAGTATTTCTCTCACTATTCTGTTTTTTTTTTCCAAATTTTTTTACAATTTGACTTTCTTACAATTAAAAAAAGATATCTTACAATTCAGAATTAAAAAATTCCCACAATTCTGACTCTCACAAAAGCGAGTCTATATCTCACAATTCAGACTTTTTTCTAGCAATTGCAAGTTATGATAATTCTGACTTTTTTCTCACAATTGTCAATTTACATGCCGCAATTCAGACTTTTTTTCTCACAAATACGAGTTTATATCTCACAATTCTGACTTTTTCTTGCAAAAGCGAGTCTACATCTTAAAATTCAGACTTTACTTATCAGAATTCTAACTTTTTTCTCACGAGCAATTTACATGCTGCAATTCAGACTTTTTTCTCAAAAATTCGAGTATCTCTCACAATTCAAACATTTCCATTTTTTTCTCACAATTGTGAGATCACAATTCAGACTTTTTTCTCACAATTGAATATATTCCTTAATTCAGATATTTTTCTTCGAAATTGTGTTATACCTCACAATTCGGACTTCATACCTCGTAATTCTGACTTTTTATCTCAGAATTGTGAGATAGAATGTTGCAATTACCTTTTTTTTTCATGGCAGACACAAGCTTCCATTTTTTAAACCAAAACGCAGCAGTAAAAATGCTCCAAACACACTTTGTGTAACACCAGGAGGTAGATATAACTCACACATTTGCACTTTCCAAGAAAATCAAGCCAAATCGAGAGCAAAACCTGCAAAAGTGTGTAACATTCATGTAACTTGCGCTTTCCATCACAACAAACATTCAGTGTCTTTTCCTATACAAGAAAAAAAAAATCCTATTTACAAGACTTTCTCATCCTTCTGGGCACAATCTGAACCCCGATCAAAGGTCAGAGGTAGCAGGCTTCTGCGTCTAAACCAAAGATTGTGAAAAAATGACAGTCAGAACAAACATATGCTATCACAAAGTTCCTGATTAGAGAAAGACTTGTATTAATCAGCATTCCTTTCCTATTCGCTTACGATCACTTTTAAAAAGACCTTTGTGCCTTCAGAGTCTAGTACCATAAACATGACAAGGGTCATAATCAGAATTAACCAACCACAGATTTCCAAAACCTCTCCTCTCACAAAACCGGTAAGCAAAAAGGAAGAAATAGAATTATCCCTGAAAGTACATTTTCTTTTCCTTTTAAGGAACACGACTAAATATACAACACAACCTAGTGCAGAGGATCCTGGTTTGTGTTTTGTCCATGATTGTGTGATTATGAGCTTCAGGTTTGTCGAACTTTCTTTTCCTCTTTTTGTTCGCACGGCGGTCATTCAGTCCTTGACGAGTCTGTAAACGTGATACTGTGCTCCGTGGTCACTTGTAGACACCTCAAACACAAATGCAATGCAAAGCAAAGTCTCTTGTGTTTCTCTGTTTGTGACAACCTGGGGAGGGGAAAAAAACACTTTAGGGAAAACTGTAGTATAAGACTATACACTCTTAGAAGAAAAGGGTTCATTGGGGTTTTATATATGTAGCATAGGGTTCTTTACTCAACTCCAAAGAACCTTTTATGCTAAAAAAAGGTTCTATAATGACAAGAAAGAACCTTTTGGTGCTTTATAGGCTATTATTGATTCATATATGACATTATTCTGCAACATTTTGTAGTTGTAATTAAATTATTGTTTATTAAACTATAATCATGCTGATTTTTGGAGGACAAAAACGGAAATGGCACTCTTCGTGTGATATTGATTAACTATATAAAATGATATAAATATATACATTTTCTAACTCCCATATCTTGAATTTTATGATCATTCACATGCATTCATAAATACATCTTAGGGTCTTGATGTTTGTCAATAATATGAAATATTTCATCCGGAAAGGACAAAACAAATGATAATGAAAATAGAAAATTGTATGTTCTATATTCTTTATGTTCTATATTTTATAACATTTTTCATATAGTACATTTTACGTGGCTTGAGAAAGTGGCAAGAAACCATGCAAAATCCAATTAGAGTGGCCAGACTAAAACAGATTTCCAGAAATGGTTGAATGATCGAATTCGGTCGGATATGCTCAAAAATCGGATCAGGACTGACAGTCTGAACCTGGCTTAAGACGTTTCCCATTTCGAGGGAATTTGACACTGCATCAGTTATGGGGATGGGGATGGTGACCAACGCCTGTCTGTGCTCTTTGAATGTCGGCAAGTACAATCTTGTCAGACTTAAGCACTGAAGGATTTGACGGACCTTGACCCAGAGTAACCTAAATGCATCTGCAACCAATCAGAACACATCCTGTGACAGCACATCCTTGCTCCCTAGAAGGCTCAGTGTTATAGACGCAAAGTAAAAAGCCATGCAACTTCCATGCTCATCTTCTGGAACGGGGACTGCCACATTGGACCAGTCTGAGCCACAGCTACAGGGCAGCCCAGAGCCCCTTAGAGCAGAGCTAACAGGACTATAGACATAGCCTCGGATGGTTCCATAGTACTACATCTGGCAGCTGAACCAGATGATCAGTGAACTCCTACCAGACCTGAATACAAGCCTAAGGGCGGATTCATCAGCTTCCAAGAATATCCAGATTAATGAAGAGACAACAGAGATTGTGTCGCTAACTGTGATATAAACTACTCCGCAAAGCTTTGGTCCGACCTTCGAGTAACCTGAGGATGGGGATCAACCCAATCGCCTTCAATACCCAATATGATCATTTGCGGAAGACAAAAAGTGAGGGAGTAAAGTTTCCACACTCAATCTCGGCTTTCAAGCTCTACTCATCTAAAAGGCAACCTAAGTGAAGGGAGCATATAATTAAGCATCCCATTCCTTAAAGACTAGAAGAGGCCTCAGGAGAGAGCACTGTCCTTCGGATGAGACGTTAAACCGAGGTCCTGACTCTCTGTGGTCACAAAAAAATCCCAGGATGTCTTTCGTAAGAGTAGGGGTGTAACCCCGGCATCCTGGCCAAATTTGCCCAGTGGCCTCTGTCCATCATGGCCTCCTAGTCATCCCCATATATACCAATTGGCTTCATCACTGTCTCCTCTCCACCAGTAATCTGGTGTGTGGTGAGCGTTCTGGCGCAATATGGCTGCCGTCGCATCATCCAGGTGGATGCTGCACACTGGTGGTGATGGAGGAGATTCCCCCTTCTATGTAAAGCGCTCTGAGTGCCGAGAAAAGCGCTATATAAATATAATGAATTATTATTATTAGTCTGCTAATCCCTCACTCCTCCTGAAGGAGAAATAGCAATAACAAGAAATAGTGCTTTCAATAGATCTGATGAGGGAGCACCTATGGCAGCGATACACTGTCATACTCTCCTACCTAGAACCTAGTCAACTCCTGCTACCTCCATCAGCTGGAGGGAGCCACAGAGAAAGAGGGATGCTCAAGCTGATAACAACCACTTCTTTATCTGAAGTTCACTACATGTATTACAAAAGACTTTTACCTACCGAACCCCTAGGGAAACGCTCTAATTGTTAGTCAGGTCTCCAAGGGAAATGAGCCAACGTATTCCCATCAAGCTACTACCTGTTGGGGTCAAGCAGACCCCAACACCACACTCTGGCAGCGCTGCCGAGTGGAGAATGGGTGGATTCCATGATGTGCAGAGCTCCACTAGCCTAACCCGTGAGGTGCAGACACTTGACTGACATCCCCAAAGAAAAGAGCCAGGTGAGAGAAGAGCTCCCTCACTGCCTCCTCCCTTTGAGAGAGAATCAAGCAAGAACAGAGCTTTATACTGCAAATGCATCGCTATGAGAGCGTCCAACTCCCTTGAAAGCCAAACGCGCACCAATCAAACACTCGAATCTATCCCTCGAGAGAAAATCAAGCAAGAACAGAGCTCTTATCTTCAAACAAAGCAGCTTCCTGAAGACTTCCGAAATCATTTTCCAGAACATTCTCATTCACTGTACCATGCTGGTGGAATGATCTCCCCACTCTCATCCGGAATGCAGAATCCCTGTCAGCATTTAAAAGACAACTAAAAAACTCTTCTCTTCCATGAGCACTTAACATTAAAAAAATATATTTAAAAAATCCTTTTCTTTTAAAGAGTAACTAAACACTTACCCAAATTTTTTTAGTTAATGATCTGTAAGAATGGATCTTTATTAATACTAGTCATTGATTCGAGTAACTTTTTTGACATTTGTTTATAAAGTGTTCTATTTCTACAATATATGGTGTAAAAACGTCGTAGTGCTGCCTTCTTCAGGTTGAACGGTGGCTACTGCAGTTGAATTTTCCTATTGGATGTTCCGCACTTCGTGACGTACGCAGGTTTCAGCTCAACACGCGAGCTACGCCCTTGGCAGTATAAAAACCATCTTGTGTCGTCAAAACCACTGAAGCGAGTCAGGAGTTGGAATTGTGAGTATTGAAAACGATCAAAGAGTGTTTTAGCATCTATTTCGTCCCCTCTATCTCCGCTGGGGTCTGCCCACTTTTTCAGCATTTTCAGATATTGCCAGTGGGCCAGGCTCTGACCAGAGGTTTAGTTACCCTTTTAAACCCTGCTTTTTTGGCTTATGTCACCCCGTGCAATGTCTGAACTTTGTATTTTGAGCACTTGCGTTGTTTTTGCCTCTTCACGATGACTCGCTTGGTTTAGTCCTCTGTTGTAAGTCGCTTTGGATAAAAGCGTCTGCTAAATGACTAAATGTAAATGTGAAGACAACAAATCTGTTGGCATGTAATACAAGCCTTTTGTATGCTCAGGCTCTCCATGTGACATCGTTGGACTGCTGACAGCCAATAGATTGGTGTAAATTCACAGGGGGGCGTGGTGCAGTGTCGAGTTCCATCGCCAAAGCACAACCAAAACAATGTTCTTCCACAAAATGCATGGAGTTATTTTTTAACTGCTAGTTACAGTGTTCCTTTAAAGGGCACATATCATGCAAAATCCACTTTTTTAGCCTTTAAATGCATTTTGTTGTATATTTGGAGTGTTTATAAGTACAGAAAAGATAAAATTATTCTCTTCAGGTGCTTCGTTTATATCTTTATATTCTGTTTTGGTCGTATTTTTCAACCTGTTCAGATTTTTCTGTTCTCTATTACGTTTTTTGAACAATTACGTCGCCGTATTTGCAGCGCAACTGACAAAAAAGGACATTGACTACCGGTCCAACACTTCGAGCAATCCGCCATTATTATTTCTCCCTCCGATTTTGTAGTCCAAGCTCAATGATGCAGAAGTTACGAGAGGGCTAGTCGAAATGTTCGGTTGTTGGATGTAGTGACCTGAACCACTTCAACAACATCCGCCAGTTTACAGAAGGGTTTGCTGATCGACTTCGTCTGAATGAGGGGTCAATTCCTTCTATCATTTAGCTGCTGTGTTTTCTGATGCTTTTCTACACGTAAGTTATCATATTATTATCAATACAGATTTTTAGTGGTAAGATCAGACCGCAGTCATTTATCTTGTCAGTGTGCTTGTTTTAACAAGAGAAATAGTCGACTTTCACTAATAACACAACATCGTTAACTTGCATACCACTGCATCCATATGAAGACGTTGTTCTGCAGGTTCGTCGTCGTATTTTTCAACTCGCTCGGTCTGGCTCGAACATGTAAGGCTTGATGGAAAAGTCTTCCATTGTTGACATTTTGTTAACGTGTGAATAAAAATTTTCTTTGAAGCTATAGTAATCGTTTATCTCTTATCAAACTACAATAATGGCCGAACGCGGGGAGTTGAACCGACTGTGAACTCAGCGACCTGGAAAGCGGGTGGGGAAAGACGCAACTCCTTTTTATTTAAAGGGGCCGCATCGAAACGGGTCGCTCACAGAAGCACATCAGAAAAGGCGTAGAAAAGGGGCCTGTGGAGCTATAATAATGAGGAATTCAGACCCAAGCATTGCAGTTATGCTTTATATAGACCACAAATGTATGATTTATAAGTAAAAATGAATGATTTAAAAGTATGATATGTACCCTTTAAGTTGAGAATTATGTCCTGTTTTCTCATTCGCTTACCTGCAGTATAGTGAAGTTCTCCAGGACACTGTTCATCATATATTTTTCTGGCAGGTGCTTGAGTTTATGGATGAAGTTGATCATGTATTCACACATGGGTGAGCGATGGATCCGGTAAACGTACCTCCCGCCCTCCACACGAGCGTACTCTGTCTAGGGGTCAAAAAGGCAAACTATAGATGCTGATTTGATTTCTTTCAAACCACTACCATCTACAGTATATTCCAAAAACACAGCTGCCTAATTATGAATCAATGGTGAACTCACTTCAACTTTCTCTACCACCTGCTTCCCAAAAGAGCAGACTTTAGTCGACACAGTGATGATCATGTTTTCAGCACTGCTGTACTGACTGCTGACCCCATAGAATGAGCCCGCGCCATCCTGAACGTTACTATTGTTCAGATCAGCCTGAAGCAGATTACAGAAAAATCACTTATCTCAGCTATTTAAAGAGATGAACATATGATATATCAATTTACAAACTAATAACATACACTAGGTTTTCAGTATTGTCAATTTTCTAAGAACAGAGTGACAGAATAACTCACCCAGAACTTGACCAGAAAGAAAGCGTTCTGAGGGCCTTTCTCGTACAGCTCCTTCAGCCCTCCCTTCTTCTCCGGAAACTTGTCGTAGATCTGACGGATGTCCACGGCCTCCAGAAGAGGGTCTGAGTACGAGGGGTTTGTCTGGGCGATGTGGACAAACAGGTGCTTGCTGTACTGTGGATTAAGAGGTGGAGAAGAAACAATTAATGCGCTTTGAAACGAAGGCATGGAACGTCGCCATTCCTTAAACACACTACCGGTATGAATGGTTTTGTCTTGTAAGGGCTGGTTCACTTCACACAGTGCATTTTTGCTGTTAAGGCGAGACACGGCAGACAAAAACATTGTGTTTTTTTTTTTTTTTTTCACTGGTCAATTTTGAGATTTTGGGATATTTGTCTTCAATAACATGTCTTCTTTCAGACTTGTGGTGAAAAAAAGTCAGAAATACACATTTAGGTCTTTATTTTACTACACTTTGTCCGTTTGCGTCTGTAGATTTCTCATAAATTCTTCAAAAGTTGTCGTTATACGATCTGCACCCTGTCATCACACACACAGTTAGAAAGCTCTCTTTCTCCTGTACAACGCTGTCGGATCCAAATATGGTCATTTCCTTTTTATCAGCAACCAATCGTGAAAGTAAAAGGGGGGATTTAAGTCTCATTGGCTGATGCTAAATCTTTAAAGCCAGTTTTCTCAAAATGACTTTTTAATCTCCACTTCAGTAGCACCTATGGACCATTTCACAAGATGTAAACAACACTGGTCCAGAAGCACTTCCTGTTTCAGTTTTTTAACACTACATAAAAGCTGGGATAAAATACAACCAACAGAACATATAAAACTGAATCAAAAAGTTAAACAAACATCTTTAAGATGTTTTCTTTACATGTGAAATAAAGAAAACAGTTACAAACTGAAACAGGAAGTGTTTCTGGACTAGTGTTGTTTACATCTTGCAAAATGGTCTATATACACCAAACTTTCCAAGTCTTGTACCTAGTTATATTATGAAGACATTTACGGGAGGGATTTGTAAATATATTATTCCTAGCCTGATTTAAATAACATTTTATTCCAAAAAACATGGCGAAAATCATTTTTTTAAGGCAATTGGCAGTTTATTCTGATTTACAGGATAATAAAAGTAGATATCCATAAATCCCTTTGTAATTTTTTTTCTCATCTAATATGTGAACACAATGAAAAAAGAATTTTGAACCTGGCTTTATCCAATACTCAGATTTCATATTTTAAAATAAATGCAAATTTGTGGATTTTTAATTAGATAATGCCTCATTTGCATATTTAAACATTAAATTACAGAAAACTTGTAATATATTTTTTCCTCATCTTAATGTAGGTAATCAAAATGGGAAGGTTTCATGGTGATATCTGCTAGTTAAAAAATTACCCTATTCGCCTGTAGTGTCTCGCCTTAAAAACTAAAGACGCAGGGCAGTGGAAGGAAAAAAAGTGAAAGGTCTAAACTGAAGTGTTTTTTTGAAAAAGTTAAAATTCTTTTAACTTGAACGCCTTGTTTTTTGAAAGCCATCTAGTCCGTTTACATTGAAAAACAATGGAAAAGTAATGCAGTGGAATAAAAAAAAAAAAACGCTTTCTGTGTGAACGGCCCCTAACACTAGCTGCGTTTACATGGTTCAATCGGAATGAAATCAATCTGATTGATGAATCTGAACACGGTGTTTACATGAATGATAAATAAAATAATCAGGTTGATGTGCGCGTTTATATGTCACAAGATTCAAATCGGAATTGATTTTTTGAAATGTGCACACTGCACGAATATGCCCCTGTTCGCACATAACTATTCTCCTCTATTGGTTCTCTTAGTTTTAAACAACAGACTTAATATTTATCCGTCTCTGGTCATGATTTAGAGACGATGAGCATGAACCGTTTTACTGTGCTGCATTTATTTATCACGCAGTAAAAGGGTCCATGTAAACGCAGCTACAGTAGTGTTATTAAAAAATATTGAAATAAACTAAAATATACATTTTAGATGCAAAAAATTCAAATTAGAAACGTAGTCTTGGCTTCTAAATGAAATGAGTAAAATAAGTAAAATTACTAAACCGATAACTAAAATAAAAGTAAATAAAAGGAGTAGTTCACTTTTAAAAAAACGTTTGCTGATAATTTACTCCCCCCCACCATGTCATCCAAGATGTCCATGTCATTCTTTCTTCAGTTGAAAAGAAATTAAGGTTTTTGATGGATTTTTGAAGGATTTTCTCCATATAATGGACTTCATTGGGAACCAAACAGTTCAAGGTCCAAATGAGAGTTTCAGTGCAGCTTCAAAGGGCTTTAAACGACACCAGACGATGAATAAGGGTCTTATCTAGGACCCTTTGAGTCATGAATCGAAAAAAGACTTGCTCATTATGATGAATGAGTTCGAACAGGAGAGTCACGAACGCGCATCACAGAACACAGCAAGGCAAGCATTTGTGCTTATAAAACTTAAACTTTTTTATTTGGTAACGCTTTATTTTTTAAATGAGCGATCGTTTCGCTAGATAAGATCCTTATTCATCGTCTGATGTCGTTTAAAGCCCTTTGAAGCTGCACTGAAACTTTCATTTGGACCTTGAACCGCTTGGTTCCCATTGAAGTGCATTATATGGAGAAAAATCCTGGAATGTTTTCATCAAAAACCTAATTTCCTTTCGACTAAAGAAAGAGGGGGGTGAGTAAATTATCAGCAAAAGTGTTTTTTTTAAAGTGAACTACTCCTTTAAAGCTAATTAGAAAAAAAAAGTACTCAAAATGACAAAAGCACATACAAAAAATTACAGGACATGGTGAAGGAAAAAAATATGAGCTGGAGGAAAAATCATTTTTCAATCGCAAATGTTTTCAATGTTTCAATGTCTCTTAGTTCCTTTTCGACATTTCACTGCATCTTGGCATTGACGCTATGGGGAACACCCTCATCTTGACCAGTGTCTCCAATATTCTCAGCAAGACGCTCACTCACAGTGTCAGGGTCTCTCTGGACCTCCATGAACGCCGAGTACTCCAGCATGCGGAGTTTACCGGAGGCGATGGTCCGGTCCTGCCACACAGGCATGGCAGTGCTGGTAGGGGGGAGGGAGCTTGGCAACGGCTCATAACCTGTGGAGAAAATATGCTGGTTTAGGCCCGGGTGGGTCAGTCTGAGTTCACATATAATCCCAGCACTGCTCTTACTTGATATGGGCGTAGGCAGTGGAGGCTGAAGGCTGGAGTATGGGTTCGGTGCAAAGGGCTTGATGCTAGAAAGACACCGAGAAAGATCAGCAGGCTCTCACAACAACACTGTTGATTAGATCAGGAATCCGTTTGGTAGAGATACTCACTCCTGAGAAGGTCCAGGCTGTCCTGGGATGGGTCCGGGCCAAAACTGCACAACAAAACAGAGAACAATGGAAGTTTGAGGGTTAAGTTATAGAACTGAGGGTGACTGGTCATTGGACACTGAACTAACCCTGGCTGGAGGAGGGTAGGGGTGCTGAGGAAGAGGAGGCATCTGACTCTTCATCACACTGGCAGAAACGATCTGAGCGGAGGACAGAGCGGCCATGTTCTGCAGGGCTTTGTCTTTGGAAGCCTGATCCTGAGAAAGACGAAACAAGGGCTTCATTTAAAACAAAAATGACCCAGGATTGA